GAGAAAGAAGTACTTTTCTCCCTTTCTCACAATACAAGAACTCATGGGGATGCAATGAAATTGCTGAGCAGTCAGGTTAGAACAGATAAAAGGAAGTACTTCTTCACCCAAAGAGTGATTAACACATGGAATTCACTGCCACAGGAGATGGCGGCGGCTACAAGCATGGACGGCTTCAAGAAGGAATTAGATAAGCATATGGAAACAGGTCCATCAGTAGCTATTAGCCACAGGGTATAGATAGGAAGTCTCAGTCTGGGGCAAGTGATGCACTGTACTCTTGGTTCTTGGGGGGGGGGGCAACAGTGGGAGGACTTCTAGTGTCCTGGTCCCACTGTTAGACCTCCTGATGGCACCTGGTATTTTTGGCCACTGTGTGACAGAATGTTGGACTGGATGGGCCATTGGCCTGATCCAACATTGGCTTCTCTTATGTTCTTATGTAAGCTTTTGAGAGTCAAACCTTCCTTTGACAGAGGCCCTTTTCACATTATCATTCTAAACTGGATGTTATTTGTGTTTGGCCTGATTTTGAACAAAGCGATACAGGGATGGGGGTTTATTAATGAGCCATCTCTGAAGAGCTATTGTAATTTCAAACAGTGCTGCTTCCCCCCACCCCTTTTCACTGTGCAATCTTCCTCAGACTTTTTTTTAATGTTCTAAGTTGAGCACTATAGCTCTAAATCAATACAGCACTTCAGTGCTATAGCAGCACCATTGAGATGCCTTAACTCCATTGAAGCCAAGGCATTTCAATGGTGACTCCATTGAGTCAATGTGTGTGCTGTTTAAAATGTCCCTAGTGTTTCTTACAATGCTGCTTTCCCCCTTTTTTGTCATACAATCTTCCTCTGTCTGTTTTTTAAACATTCTAAGTTGATTGCGATAGCGCTAAACCAATATAGCACTTCAGTGCTATAGTGACATCATTGAGATGCCTTTACTCCTTTGACTCTATTGAGTCAAGGCATCTCAGTGGTGACCAAGATAGCACTTCAGTGCTACAGTGGCACCACTGAGATGCACTGACTCCATTGACTGAATGAAGTCAATGCATCTCAATGGTGCTGCTATAGCACTGAAGAACTATATTGGTTTAGCACTATAGCACTCAACTTAGAACGTTCAAAAAATTTCTGAGGAGGATTGCAAGGTAAAAAGGGCAGGGGAAAAGCAGCATTGTAGAAGAAAGCGCTACAGACATTTTAAGCAGCACACCACAGCGATTTAGAAGTGCAACGAAGGGGTAGAAAATAGAAGAAAGCAGTGTCCCTCAGTTTCCATACTTTGCTAACCCGATGCAAGCAGGTTTGTATGAATAGGCAAATAAAATTCTGTTAGCAGCCAGTTACTAAAATGGGTCTGTCTGAAACGACAGAAAAAACCCATTAGCAACCAGTTACTAAAACGGGATACAAAGGCGGTTTGAGAAGGGCCTATGAGCTTTGACGCTCCAAAGCTCATATCCTAAAAAATTTATTGGTCTCAGCTGGACTTGGATCTAGCTGTTCTACTGCAGAGCATCACAGCTACCCTCTGAAGTTAAAGTGATGCAAGGCTGAAATAATTTTGCTACGTAGACATGCCTCTCGAATAGCAGGAAAATGCCAGCCACCACATGCATGTCCTTGAGATATCTGGATTCCATGCATCAAGGGTGCAATGACTGTCCCTTTATTGATCTGTAAACCAACTGTATTGAAACAGGTCTTTCTCACAGTGGGGACCTGGGAACAAACTTGTGTCACAAAAAGCAGCTTAAAAGAATTGTTGTGATCATGAGTGTTACCAGGGGTTTTTTTTGGCCAGGTATAAATAGCTGTCCACCGTATGTGTTATAAAGCAGAGTATACTTTGCATGCAAACTCCTATAAACATATCAAAATCATTATCAGCATAGGAAGCTTTGGTGCTGGTACAAAACATTATAACATAAACTCTCATTGCTATCACAGCAAGATGAAATGGAATACCTTCTGATCCTATGCCATAATCTTCGAAACAGGAAATAAAATACCCATTTGTGGAAAAACAAAAATCAGTTGCTCTGTCACCATCATGTAGTTGCTCTAGTCAGGAAGGTCTTTAACTATTAAATTACTGAAACTCAAATATTAGTCATCATGAAAACAAGGTATGTTTGAACCATATGTTCAGAAATACTATCTCTGCTCAACAAGTTTGGAGTCCTTTCCCCCCCAGGATAACCATATTTGGATATGAGGGAGGGAGGGAGGGAATTACAAAACAAACCTCAGTTGTCTTCACGAGGTCTGCGATAATTATTGTCTGCATTGGACAATAAGCAAAAAAAAATTCTGATCACTAGCAAAGGATAAAGAGAGGCAGCCATATTGCTAATAGTCAGCTGGAGCATCATTGCACACTTTGTCCAAACAGCAATAGCTTCCTCTTACATTTACATCTATACTAACCTACATTTCTTCTCTGCTGGCCCTGGCAGTGGAAACTGAACAGATGAGCAGTAGGCTTAGAAGAGATTAAAGGAAGTCCTTCTTCACCCAAAGAGTAATTAACACATGGAATTCACTGCCACAGGAAGTGGTGGCAGCTACAAGCATGGACAGCTTCAAGAGGGGATTGGATAAACATATGGAGCAGAGGTCCATCTGTGGCCGTTAGCCGCAAGGTATAGATGGAACACTATGTCTGGGGTAGTGATGCACTATATTCTTGGTGTTTGGGGGGCAACAGTGGGAAGGCTTCTGGAGTTCTGGCCCTGCTGGTATACATCACTCCCACAAACAAAGAGTGAGACAGGTGAGGTTGAGAGAGGCTGGATGATAGAGAGGGGATCTGAACCTGGATCTTTCCAGCCCTAGTCTGACATTGTAACCTCTGTACCACACTGTACCACACTGGCTCCCATTACATGTCACTTAGACTCTTCATCTGCATGCTTAAAAGCAGGCCTATACATCTTATTACCCAAAGCCAAACATAATCCACCATGTATGGTAGCCAACCCATCCTCATAGACCTCTTTGCTTGTCTGACAAGCATCAGGCAGGACAGCTGGCCATAAATACATGACTAGTAGGCTATGTGTGGCTCGGTGGGTCAGGAATGGTGCACAGCTCACCCAACACTCAAGCCATGACCCACAAAAGAGCAAACCTTATTCAGCAACATGCTGCATCCTCCACGGATGCTGTCAGTTTCATGAGTGACATTGCCTTTCAATCTTACAAACCACACCCTAGCTGCGCTCCATTTATCTTGCAAGTGATCTCTGAATAACACAACAGCTCTGGGAGGTTTGCTTTTGTTTTATTTTTCTTTTAATTTTTAAAAAACTCAATTGTATTGTCATTTGCTTGATGTGGTTTGGAAAGAACCTTTCACCCTGGAACCTGGGCGTAAGAACGTTCTAGCACTGCAGCCCTGATTTTTCAAGAACCACATGAGCTCCACTCCTGACTTGACTGCCATAAGGTACTTGGCCACCCTAGCTCTCCAAACGCAGAGGGTCAAGAACCTTTCCTTTCCTTTCATCCAATAAAAGCTCTATGATGCATTGATCTTGAACAGTGAAGCAGGTCAAGAACCATACCTACTTAGACCCTCCATCCACACAACACACCAGTAACTGAACAAAGAGGAGAAGACTTCTAACCATACCTTCTCCTTACATTTAACTATAGCTAAAAGTATTGTTACTATACATGGGAAAGGCTATTTTTGCATTGTTTTAAAAAGGCTCCAAAGCTGTGTGCACCTACAGAGAAAAGGGTACTTACAGCAAGTTTGTAATCCTGGTAGCTGTTTACCAAGTCTTGAATGAAGGGATGCTTTAGAAGTAGCGCCACGGTGATGGGTTCCAAAAGTTCAGAGCCAAGTTCCTCGTATATTTTGATGAAGTGCTTTAAAAGGGAGCACAAATTGCTTGCTTGATTAGAAAACAGAGTAACTGTGCTTTTTTAAAGGCATGACCTGCCTCTGTATGGATGTCCTGGTGACTGTGACTTTGCTTTTATATACAATCCTAACCCTAACCAATGTTCCCTCTAAGCTTCACAGTGCTGTGAGCAAAAATTCTACCTCATGAGTGTAAAAAGCTAGTAGCATTAAAATTGTGAGCAAATCTACATTTGACTATCGCATAAATTAGTTTTTTAGAAGACTATTTTGATAACCTTGTAAAAATCTCAGAATGAATTCTTTTAAACTATATTTTAAGAATGATTTAAACATTATAAGAGAACACAGAATCTAGTCAAATTTCATGTTGTCCTCTATGCTGGTAGATCAGGCCTCTGGAGAGCTGGTCTACCTGCCCCTTTCCACTATATTGGTAGACCTGGCCTCAGACCATCAGCCTGTGCTGAGCCTTAGAAAACAAACCAGAACTTGGGAAGGGGGGACACTTGCAGCATACTTTGGGTTTTTTTAAAGTGAAGTATGACAAATTTACAAGTCAAGTATAATAGAGATGGAACAATTACTGTCAGAACCCTGCGTAACCTAACAAACAGGAACTTTCTTAAATATTATCAACCTGCCCAAACTACTTCTTTTTCAAATATTTATATGCCTCTTTTCCTGTGACTCAAGGCAGCTTTTAGATCATACTGAAAAGCATAATGGGGATGTGTAAAAAAAATAATCGTTTTCCCCCTGCTCCATTATAGCCTATGGGGATAATTATAGTCAATGGGCCCCATAGGCTATAATGGAGAATTGATCTGGGGGTATCTAGGGCTCTGGGGGATTGTTTTTTAGGTAGAGGCATCACATTTTCAGCATAGCTGCTGGTGCATCTCCTCAAAAAACCCCTCCAAGTTTAAAACAGATTGGACCAGAGGGTCCAATTCTATGGGCCCCAGAAGGTGGTGCCCCTATCTTCCATTGTCTCCAATGGGAGGGAAGAAAGGCTTGTGGGCAGTGTGCTGAAACCTGTGAGCAGTCAGCTAAAACTTCACATGTCAGTGCCCCCTAGTGCAGCTTAGAGGGAACACTGACCCTGACCCCCTTCATATATTGGTCTTGCTCTATAATAACAGGGATGGAGATCCACCAGAGCATTTCTGTAGTTGGAAGGATTTCTGAACAATTTGCTCAGCTTCCTTTTCCTGCTGCAGCCCAAAATGCACCCCCAAAATTCTGCTCCCCCATGATCAGCATTTCAGGGGCATTTGGGGTTGCAACAGGGTAGGATTTCTGAACAATTTGCTCAGCTTCCCTTTCCTGCTTTCCAGCCCAAAATGCACCCCCAAAAACCCCATTTGGGGTTGCAACAGGCTGGGGGAGGCAAGAAAGTCATGGTCTGCAGGTGGAAATCCTACCTTCTAAGGAAACGCTCTGGTGAATTGGAGTCAAAGCACTGCTAAAGCATTTTTCCAGTGACCAAAGTGCTTCACATACTTTATCCCAGTACTCCTTTAAGTTAGGACATGATCATTACCCCCCTCTGAGGAGGATAATGCTGTGAATAGAATGATAGAATCATAGAGTTGGAAGGGAACTCCGGGTCATCTAGTCCAACCCCCTGCACAATGCAGGAAATTCACAAATACCTTCCCCCTACCCCCAGTGACCCCTGCTCTATGCCCAGAAGAGGGCAACCCCCCCAACCTTCCAGGATCCCCAGCCAAAATGGCCTGGAGAAAAATTGCTTCTTGACCCCCAAAGTGCTGATCAGCATTTCCCTGGACGTATAAGAAAGGGCTACGAGAGCTAAGCACTGATGCAGCCCTTCCTGCCCTCCCTTCTCATGATCTGCCTAAGTTCACAGAATCCGCATTGCTGTCAGACGGCTATTTAGCCTCTGTTCGAAAACCTCCAAAGAAGGAGAGCCCACCAACTCCCGAGGAAGCCTGAGGATAACAGCAACCATCTTATGGCCATCTAGTGTTCACAACTGAGTTTATGGAACTGGTGATTCCCAGCTCACAACCTTGGTCACGACACCAGGCCAGTTCTTGTTATTGGTTAAATTCCAGGCTTTCTGGCCTTAAGAGCTTCGTAATCTTGAAGCATGTGTTCTAGGCAATGCCAGGGCATTGGATAAGGAAATAATACCCATAGAGGGATACAACATTAAAATGTGGCATATCTTCCATTTCTTGACTTGTTTTAGAACAACATTCTTTACCATGCAAGTAAAACTGTGGGCTCCTGGTGAAACAATAGAATGCTTTTGCAAGCTACATTTTGGCTGCCAATGTCCTGAAATAACGAAACTGATAACCTGGCCCTAGACATCCAGTTGACCTGCTAGGGCATGAACCATGGGTTGGGGAGCCTTCCCACACTGATGGATTTCTCCATTCCCTGCATGTTCAGCATAGCTTAAAGGTAAAGGTTCCCTTGCTCAAAAGCCAGTCAAATCCGACTCTAGGGTTGCGGTGCTCATCTCCGTTTTAAAGCCGAAGAGCCAGCGCTGTCCGAAGACGTTTCCGTGGTCACGTGGCCGGCATGACTAAACACCAAGGCGCACGGACCGCTGTTACCTTCCCACTGAAGTGGTACCTATTTATCTACTTGCAATTTCTTGCTTTCGAACTGCTAGGTTGGCAGGAGCTGGAACTAGAGACGGGAGCTCACTCCGTCATGCGACACACTCGGGTCTTGAACTGCTGAACTACTGACCTTCCACAGCGTGCAGTTCAGCGTCTTAACCACTTGAGCCACCGCAGCTCCTCAACATAGCTTAGCATGAGAATATTTCAGAAGCAGCATAAGGCTGTTCTGAGCAGGCTGCCGTTTGCTGGCCGAAGTTAAGCAACAACATTTACTTTTTAATTGCAGTAACCTATTCTTAATGCCATCAAATAAGAGTGGGAAACCCGCTTATCTTTAAAAAGCAGTGAAAGCGTTGATGGGTCAACCAACCTCGTAATTGTCCTCTTCTGTCAGATAATCACTAAATCTATGGTTGTCCTCAGCCTCAATCGTCTCATGCTGAAACACTCTGAGTAGGGTAGGCAGGGAAACTATTCCTTCATTGGTGTAGAATTCATCTTCGTCCTCTTTTTCCTTCTCTTCTTCGTCCTCCTCATCTTCTTCACCACCTTCCTCTTCCTCCATCAGCTCATCATGTTCATCAATAATCAGATGTTCAGAAAGGAACTGAAAAGCATAACACGCAGCAATGGCTTTTGCAGATTTGATTGCTTACTGATGACCAGCTGATGGTTTCTCAATGGATACCAGTGTCTGGGTGATGTTTATTAGATGGCCCTATTAGGGGCTGGGGGCTACTACGATTTGGGGTGGGGCTGACGCCAAAGCCTTGCAGCCTTTATGTATGACATGGAAAACAGTTTGACAGTTGGGACACAGGCGGGACCCACACTGCTGTTTTGCTCTGCCTTGGCTTTCAAACTGGAACAGTATTTTTGTAAGGATCCACATGATAACATCCTCCAATCGTTCACTCTCTGTAGTTTACCCTACTTTGAGCCAATACTTCCAGAAGGGTCAAAGCGGGCTGGTACATCATCTGGATAGGAAGGTATACATATCTGAACCTCCTGTCCACATCAATGGAATTTTAGTGCCATGACCCCCTCACACCCACTCTTCCCCCTCATGCACCACTGGAGAAGTTTTTTGTCCACTAAAAAAATTGGTAGTTGCTATATCACTACAGTATTATATCGCTATAGCGACACAGCAACTACTGATTTTTTAAAAACCCGGGGAAAAGCTTTCTAGTGGCATAGGAGAACATGAGAGGCATGACTGAGGAACATGACTGAGGAAAATGTAGGGAACACCCTCACATTGATGCTTTGATGCTGATGCAACAGCTTTGTATACAACAACTGCTTACTTGCCCAACTTAAGTTCTAGTATGGACCACATTTTCTTCCACATCCCAATTAATTCTGGATCTAAAAATCACTAAACAATGGGAGGATCTTTTTTGCAGGACCTTCAATGACTTTTCTTTTCGACAACCGTCTGTTTCTAGCTTAAGGCACGTAGGAGCATATGGACATGGCATTTTGCATTCCTTTTCATTTTCATACATATTTGCTGTGAGGGTTTTCATCCTGCCTATCCTACTTTCCAGTTTTGGCCCCCATTTTGTTCATTTCTTTGATGGCATGTTTACATGAGACACAATTTTTATGCGAAATGAAAAGGGGCAACTTTACTGTTGATACCACTATCAAATTTTGTTATTTTGCCAAGACAATAAAAGGCAACTTCATTTCAAGGCCGTAAAAGGAAACTCGAGCGCTGAGTCGTAACCAGAGTAGTACACTCTATCAACTGGATCAGAACATTCTGTACAGAGGTGCTCTGAAACACACCATAGCACAGCTTTAAAGATGAGGTGCGGTTTCACAGAAAGAAAGACAAACCATGAGCAGATCACACTGCAACAGAAACCATAAAGGGTGATTAAGAACAAATTTGCGCAACTGGCATTCTCCTTTATGTTTGGCACAGTGACAACATTGACCCAGATGGATGAGGAGGTGCTGTGTGATCTCTCCACTTTCAGGAATAAGAACCTCCCTGCTGTCCTCAGCCAGCACCAAGAATCATCATCATCAATAACAACAGTTTACCATATGAGTAACAGGAGGGTGTTTCTCTTTTTTCCTGTGCGTGTACATTCCCGTAGCGACACTGAGGGCCCGATAGACACCGTCGACAGCATCAGGATCAGATGCAAAATACAGCAACATCTCAGTGTAGTCCAGCAGAGGATGATCTTCGTAGACACCAGCAAATAATGTGAAAAAAAACTGTTAAGGAAGAGACACTTTGGTTAATTGATGCCAAGGATACTTAACCGTATTAACAATTCGAGTGAGTAGAACCTGCCAAAAGTATCTGTGCAAAGTCACGGCTGGCATTTTCAAGCAGAAGAGGAGATTGGATTTATACCCCGCCCTTCACTACCCAGAGGAGTCTCAAAGCAGCTTACAATCTCCTTTTTCTTCCCCTCCCCACAGCAAATACCCTGTGTGGTAGGTGGGGCTTAGAGAGCTCTCCCGAGCACTGCCCTTGAGAGAACAGCTCTGAAAGAATTTATGACTGACCCCAGCAGCTGCAAGTGGAGGACTGGGGAATCAAACCCGGTTCTCCCAGATTAGAGTCCACGCTCCTAACCACTACACCAAACTGGCACCGAAGCACAGGAATGCATTCTATTTCAGACGCTTTAATGTGGCCTGGGTGAAATCTGACTGCAGTTGTTTCCATGTCAGTCCTATGAGCATGTTAAACATTCTGGTGGGGGGAGAAGGCTCTGGGGCATACATAAACTTGGACCCACATGGCTGACTTTTCTTATGTCCTTCAAAGACCTGCTCCATGGAAATTCTACCACATGCACACTATGTAAAATCTCAAGGAAACTTGTTGAATGATTGGATGTTCTTGTACTCCTTGGGAGCAATTTAAGAATCACTACCCAGATCTATGTAAACCGAATGAAAGAAGCACATTTGATACTCCTGGTGTTAACTCTGGTAGGGATGGGGGATGAAGAAGATCCTTTTGGCTTACTGCTGCAGGCTAGCAACAGCTGAGGTCCATCTAGGTTGACTATCCTATTCCTGTTTCTCTGGTTGGGGCAAGAGGCAGGAGCCCTTGAGCACAAGGCAAAGGGCTTTTCACCTTGAGCTCTTAGCTTGGGGCTCACAACTTGAGACCTGTGATAATCAGGTTGTTGGACCCAGATCATCCCAGATGTGTTGTATTTTGTTTACTAGGAAAAAGGTTCGTTGTGGAAATAAATGCAACGGCCTCTAGAAAGAGGCTCTGGGCAGGTGCCCCGGCCTTGGACACTCAGTGTCAATTTGCTGTGGTGACCTCAGCAGGGTATAATGACACTGAGTCCACCATGATCTCTGCTACCTAAAGAACAGCTGTAATTTTGAGTGATCTTCAGCCCTCACCTGGAGATTGGCAACGATGGTTCCCCAGAGGGAATGGTTGGTTTGGAGGGTGGAGTCTATGGCTTTGTACCTGTCTGAGGTCCCACGCCTCCTGAAACCTCACCCTCTCCAGGCTCCATCCCTCACATCTCCAGGAATTTCCCACCTGGAGTTGGCAACCCTATCTCCTTCCCAGCCAATCATCAACCTATCTTTATTTTCCCCTCACTCTTCAGCTTTCCACCCCCCACACACCTGCAGCCTCTCCCGTGCTCTGAAGCCCTGACTGCTATGTCACATTGGCTGTCATACGGGGGCCACCTCAGCAGCATATAAAGATACAGAGCCCACCAGGGGAACTGATCTCTGCCATCTGGAAAGCAGTTGTAATTCTGAGAGATCTCCAGCCCTCACCTGGAGATTGGACACATTTTACCTCAGAATAGCAAACTGTTTAGAATGTTAGAGGCAAAAGCCAATCAAGTCACATATGCAAACGACCTCTGTGTTCCGAGGCAAAGGCCAATGAGACTGCATATGCAAATAACCTCTGTGTTCTGACTGGCTATGAGGGGGAGAAGAACAGCAAAATGTTTAGAATGTTGGAGGCAGGACTCAGGCAAAGCAGCCAGTGGATAGGGAGACCCTCTGAATGACAGATCAGAGAGCGGACTGATTTTGGAGCCTGTGGAATGTTCTAGAGAAGTGCCACCACCATTCGGCTTTTATTTATAAGGGAGATATGTCTTTGTACTTTGGAATGCTTTCTGATTTCTAAGCTGGTTTTCGGGTCTCTCTGCGGAGAAAAGCTTCCTGAAAATGCTTAAATAAAATACTTTGGATTGAGTTGTAAATCAGCTCTGCTACTGAAAAATGTTGTACTTGGTGGGGGTTTACCAAGATTTTCAACATCTTCAGAGACACCTTTAAATACTATGGACACAGTCCAACACAGAGCAAGCCTGACCTTACTGAAATAAATGATCTTAGGTACTGTTAACTCTGATGGGTCATTTCCTGTGAATTCTGGATCCTTACCTTTATAAGGTGCTCCTGCCGGTTAAAGGGTAAGGGTTCTGTTAGGCTTTCTGGAATGACGAGATCTTCACTGCCTTTAAACCAGAGGCCAGCCTAAAAATAGCATACGTTTATCCTTCATTATTCTGTTCATATCTGCATTTGTATTTCCCAGCTTGTAAATACCCTAATAAAAATCTGTTAGTATTTCAAGGGATGGTTCTGATATAGTCTTTTAAAAAAATCTCTGTATTCTCATTTATTTATTCATTAGCACACCAAGTTGAACTGGTATGGAGCTAGATCACTGGTCTGTGAAGCTCAGTATTGCCTACCCTGGGTGGCAGTGGCTCCAGAGGACATCTTTCACATGACCCAGCCAGTCTTTTAGCTGGAGACATTGCGGACTGAACTTGGGCCCTTCTGCACGCAAAGCATATTCTCTGCCACTGGGCCATGAATACGTATGAAGCTGCCATAGACTGAATAAGACCACTGGTCCATCAAAGTCAGTATTGTCCGCTCAGATTGGCAGCGGCTCTGCAGGATATCAGGCAGAGGGTCTTTACATCACCTACTGCTAGGTTCTTTTAACTGGGGATTGAACCTGGGACCTTCTGCATGCAAAGCAGAGGCTCTTCCACTAGGCCACAGCCCCTCCCCAGCCATAGTCCTTCCCACACTATACTTCATATATGGAGGATATCAAAATATAGGTCAGAATAAGTTGCGGTCAGTAACACGGAGACGCTGCTTTGCAAAAAAAAAAAAGATGAACAGTAGCTACTGGGCTGGATCCAGTCAGTTTTCCTGCTGCTGAAAAAGGGAAGAGGGGGTTCCCTCCAGTGTTTCCTCTAAGCTGAGTTAGTGCGAGCTAGCTCACAGTTTTTTAGCCTCCAGCTCACAGATGTTTGTCTTAGCTCAGGAAGGATGGCTCCAGAGCAAATGAATTTATGCAGAGGTCAGATCGCTCGCTCACTCACAACTTTAATACCAGTAGCTCACAAAGTATGGAACACTTGGAACACTTTCCCTATGAGTTGGAACACTTTCCCTATGAGGAAAGGTTAAGGCGTTTAGGGCTCTTTAGCTTGGAGAAACGACGACTGAGGGGTGACATGATCGAGGTTTACAAGATTATGCATGGGAAAGAGCAGGTAGAGAAAGAGGTACTTTTCTCCCTTTCTCACAAGAGCGGTCAGGTTAGAACGGATAAAAGGAAGTACTTCTTCACCCAAAGAGTGATTAATACATGGAATTCAATGCCACAGGAAGTGGTGGCGGCTACAAGCATGGACGGCTTCAAAAGGGAATTAGATAAGCATATGGAGCAGAGGTCCATCAGTGGCTAATAACCACAAGGTATAGATAGGTGCTCTGGGGCAAGTGATGCTCTGTCTTCTTGGTACTTGGGGGGGGGTCAACAGTGGGAGGGCTTCTAATGTCCAGGCCCCACTGGTGGACCTCCTGATGGCACTGGTATTTCTGGCCACTGTGAGACACAGAGTGTTGGACTGGATGGGCCTTTGGCCTGATCCAACATTGGCGTCTCTTATGTTCTTAAGTAGAATTTTTGCTCACAAGACTCCACAGCTTAGAGGGAACACTGGTCCCCTCTGACCACCAAAGAAGGCTATGGTGGGGAAATAATGTGACCTGAATGTACATAAGGCATGTGGAATGGGGGTTGTAGCATTGAAGGGAACTGGGTGAGCTTACACGAAGAAGCTGACTGGAGCCAATGCATCTCATATTAAGAATTTTATATTAGGTTTTTCAGAATGCTGCATGGTTTATGTCTGAACAAAACGTTCTTAACCTGGCTGCACTGCCTTTGACTAATTTCATGGTACTGCCATATACATCCTCTTCAGACTATATAATACTGACTCATAAAATGAACAAGTCTTGCCTTTCATCGTATGAGTCAGTGATTCTGCTTCTGAAAGCAACGCAAGAGAAAAAATAATTCAACAACTGTGGATGATGAAAGGAGATGGCTGGTTTCAGTTGTACTGACAACCAAAGGCAGGAGAGGGCATGTCAAACGCCAGAAAAGAAACCAAAGCCAATGTCAGAAGGCGCAGTTGAGGACTGAATGCAAAACTCTCTTCCAAGATTGAAAAGAATAGTGCTAGATTGCTGATGGCCGTTCAGGGCTCTTCCACGGGGAGATTTTTAACACTGACCCAAGGAGCAGTGTTGACTCCTAATAAAACAATAGACGTGTGTCTCTTAACATGATGATTCAGCTCAGGGATGTCCAAGTGGACATCCATCTAGATTTGTTTTCATTTTGTTTGTTAGTTGAAAGAATACACCGGGTTTCCCCCCCCGGAGCAGTGTTGACTCCTAATAAAACAATTGACGTGTGTCTCTTAACATGATGATCCAGCTCAGAGATGTCCAAGTGGCTGTCCATCTAAGATTTGTTTTCATTTTGTTTGTTAGTTAAAAGAATACACCGGGTTCCGCCCCTCCCCATAAAAACAAAGGTCATAAGAAGTCACAATTTGTTTGTGATAGTTTAAAGGCTCAAAACCTTGAACTCATGTTCTTCGGACCTCCTCCTCTACCCTTCCCCTCTTGTTAAGTACAGAGCCAGAACTGAAGACTTACTAGTTTAGGCAGGCTTCAGTCCAGTTTTTTCCCCAACATCCACAGCTGTGCACTTTTAACAACTTTGGTTCCCCCACCACCACCCACCATGATTCTGAACCATGGCTCACAATTTGTTAAGCTTTTCTCCCACCCAGTACAGATGTCAGAAGAGTCTGAAGATTTCCTAAACCAGAAAGTTTCCAAACATGGCTCCTTCCTTTGAGAAGATGGAGGAGGGAGGGAGGGAGTATGCGACTCAAAGTCATTACAAACTCAAGTTTGTGCATGATGTTCGAGTATGGGCAATGCTGCGAGCTAAATGTTCCTTACTGGCTGCTAAAGCCTTTCCATAACCTCATTAATGTTTGCAAAACGTTGTTACAAATGGATGCCGTTAAGACTGTTCCATTTAGGCAGCCCAATGAAAAACAGCGGGGTTTTCAGTCGTTTAAAGATATGAGGCCAGACTTTGGTTTATTTCTTTTAGTTGTCAGAGGGCTAACTTCACACATCCAGATCTCTGCCACTATGCTCTAGAAACACCAGGGAGATGAAGGCAACACTATAAGACACATCGTTGCTTGTGGTGTGCATACTCATTCCATAATTGCCCAGTTCATAGGTTTTGCAAGATCTTCTAGTGTTTCACAGCAGTTTCCCCAAAGCTGACAGAGGAAGGAAAGAAATGAATGTTTACACCACAGGAAAAGATGCCTCTTTCATATCACCTTGAGCTCTCGGCATCAAGCCACGGGTGCAACTGAAAGCTGTCAACATGAAAGCAACCTATGACAGACGGATTCTTTGCAAGTCTGGAGAGGTGCTTCTGCAAAAAGCCCTCTCAGCCCCATATCTGCAGCGGGTTTCAGTTTGTCATCACGATCTGGGAGCGGTGAAACCTCACCCACAGCCCTGCTAAGCAGGCAGATGATTTCAGTCAAATTGACTTTAGCGGGATTTCAATTCAGAATAAACAAAACAAGGTGAGTCCCTGCAAGGATCCATCTGGGGGCCCACTTCTGAAATCTCTCCCCTCCACACACTTCAAATCTCCCTTTCCGCGAGCGTCAAAGCTCTTCCAGGGTCGATTAGGCATGAACCGGTAAAGCATGTCATCGATTCGCAACCGACTCATGGTGACCCCATAAATTTCCACCTCATGAGGTTTTCAGAGGAGGGCAACCAAGTTGATAAGGGGGTTGGAGCCCCCTTCCCTAGGAGGAAAGGCTGAAGTCTGATTCTGTGAACTTAGGGAGATAATGAGAGAGAGGGCAGGAAGGCATGAGCCAGGGCTCGGCTCTCGTGGCCCTTTCTTACATGCCCAGGGTCATGCCGATCACCATTTTGGGGTCAGGAAGGAATTTTCCTCCAGGTGAGATTGGCCAGGGATCTTGGAGGTTTTTGGCCTTCCTCTGGGCATAGAGCAGGGGTCACTGGGAGACTGAGGGGGGAGGTAGTGGTGAATTTCCTGCACTGGTTGGAATAGATGACCCTTGAGGTCCCTTCCAGCTCTGTGTTTGTTACAGTGTAGAACAACTGGTCCAGAATGCAGTGGCCTGGGTCCTTACGGGAACCCTTCTGACAGCACACATCCAACTAGTGTTTTGCCAGCTGCACTGGCTCCAGGTTGAATACCGGATCAGATTCAAGGTTTTGGTACTAACCTTTAAGGCCCTAAACAGTCTGGGACCAACATATACCAACATATCGTATAATCCCAGAAGTAGGGTTGCCAGGTCTGGGTTGGAAAATACATGGAGACAATGTTTCAAGTCAGACTTTGAGACCTTTTTGTTTGGTCCTACTTGGAAAGTCCTACACAGAGGTCGATTCGGGGGGGATCGCGGGGCATCGCAGTTCCCCCGGGTGAGGTACGGGGGTGGGGCACATGATGAAGCCCCGCCCCCTGCTTCCGGCCCTCATTCAGCCAGGAGGAGGCAGGAGAAGAGGGAGGGTAAGTTGCTTCCTCCCCGCCTCTCCCCACCCCTGCCTGCCTGGGGCCAGGGAGGGCCTTGGCGGGGCTTCCTCGCACTCCCGCTGGCCTTGCAGGTCCACCACTGGGCCCCTGATGTCAGGGGTGTGTGGCATATGCTAATGAATTATGCTAATGAGTTCCCCTAGCTCTTTTTCTACGAAACGACCCCTGCTGCCTAGTGACCTCCGTGCCCTGCGGGACCTACTGCAGTTCCGCAGGGCCTGTAAGACAGAGAGGTCCCGCCAGGCCTATGGCTGAGGACCGCAACATTGCTTTCACTGAGCCTGGCCTCCCCCATCCCTCCTCTCCCCCTCATGGGGTCAGGACATAAACCGGTCCTTTAAGCACCATCTGAAATAGTCACAGAACTTGTTCATTGTTTTTAATTGTTTTAATCTGATTTGTAAATGTATTTATTGAGTATGTTGTTCACTGCCCTGAGCCCTACACGCAGGGGAGGGCGGTCAATAAATCAAACAAACAAACAAACATGTGCTTTATCTGTTATATGGATGGATCTAGGTTTTTTTTTAAAGCAACATGATTTTATTTTGTTTTGCTCAGATTTACCAGCACGCCCAAAGATCAGAGGACCCATTCTCAGACTCTGAACCAAAAGAACATTCTATCTGGCATCTTGTGTTGTCTCTAGAGGTGCCAGTACATTTTTAGCCTCTACCTAGGTCGTGCAAAATACCACAACGTTGTGTAGGTGGATGCAATATTGAGAGCTGCATCTCTTTGTGGTTTCTCTCCCCCCCATCCTTAATGGGGCTTGCTTGTTTTCCTTTTGCTCTTGGCAGGTATTTTACTTTGTAGAATAAGAGTCTCGAGAGACATACGCCTCTGGAATTACACAGCTGGATTCACACACCACAGCAGAACAGGATTGCTGCAAAATATTGAAGAAGAAGAGATTCGATTTATACCCCACCCTTCACTACCCAAAGGTGTCTCAGAGTGGCTTACAGACTCCTTTCCCTTCCCCTCCCCACAACAGACACTCTGTGAGGTAGGTGGGGCTGAGAGAGCTCTTGACAGAAACTGCTCTTTTTCAAGAACAGCTCTTATCAGAACCATGGCTTGCCCAAGGTCATCCAGCCAAGTACAAGTGGAGGAGTGGGGAATCAAACCCGGTTCTCCCAGATTAGAGTCCGCTTACTTAACCACTACATCAAACTGGCTTGAAGGCCATATTAGTAGTCTCATACAGAAGAATTGTAGTTATGGGCCCTGAGGATACTCTGGTGTCATAGCTCAAGACCCACGACCCATAGACTTCTATACTAGAGGAAGAGTCTTGGGACATCAAGGACCTAAGGACATCAAGAATCCTCCCCCACACCATGTGGAGATGCCACTGGGGGGAGCTTTTCTGCATAAACCTCCAGAAAAAGTGAGAAGGAGCCATTAACAACCACGCTCCTCCATTAATTCCCCCCCAGGATGGTCTTCAAATATTGATGACTCAGCTCCTGGCATCCCAACATTGCTGCCATTCCAGTTTCAGGGGTGGCACCAGGACCTATCAGCAATATCAAAGTGCACACTTCAGAGACTACCATTTCTTGAATCAGGAGTAACTCTGATCCATGAAGGGACAAAGCCCAGAGTGTATGCCTTCCTGCTGCCATTTCAGTCTTTAGTGAAACTTCAGTCCCGTTGTGGACCAACACTCCATCCTACCTGCTCAGTGGCCTTGGTCCTACTTCTTATCTTCCTCTTTTTTCCAGCTTCCACCATGAGTCTGACATTATTCTCGTTGTCTGTGTCCTTTTATCCTCCCTTATTAGCATTATGCACTCGCCACTGCACCCTGCCTGCAGATCACTGGATCCATCTATTACCATTCTCAGTGTAGTACAGTGTGTGTCCTGTGAATGGACATGCAGGGCAGGCCCATGGGCCCAGCAAGAGGGTGGAAAGAGGTGCTTCCTCCAAAACTGGAGTACCAAAGACAGTGCATGAGCACACCCTTCTGTGACCAGAGAACAGAAGAACAAGACTTCTGATAGCCTGAAGGCAATGTGTGTGTGTGTGTGGGGGGAGAAGAGGGCAAAGGCTTTGCCTCCTTCCCTTCACACCTTATTCCTTCCACTGACCCCAATTCCTCCCCCATGGGATCCCCTAAGATGTAGTAGTACCTACCCACTTGAAACTTAAAAGGTTGATGGAAGGAGGGACAAGCTTCAAGGGAAAGGGTGTTGCATCTTAACAATGACCCAGTTTACTATCCCGACAGGATGCAAGATACATAGAATCATAGCATCACAGAGCTGGAAGGGGCCATACAGGCCATCTAGTCCAACCCTCTGCTCAATGCAGGATCAGCCTAGAGCATCCCTGACAAGTGTTTGTTCAGCCGCTGCTTAAAGACTGCCAGTGAAGGGGAGCTCACCACCTCCCTAGGCAGCTGATTCCACTGTTGAACAACTCTTACTGTATAAAAGTTTTTCCTAAGATCCAGCCAGTACCTTAATTTAAAACACGTTATTGCGAGTTCTCTCCTCCGCTGCCAACAGGAACAGCTCCCTGTCCTCCTCTGACAGCCCTTCAAATACTGAAAAGAGAGGCATCATGCCTCCCCTCAGCCTCCTCTTCCCCAGACTGAACACTCCCAAGTCCCTCAGCCTTTCCTCAGAGGGCTTGGTCTCCAGGCCCCCGATCATCCTCATTGCTCTCCTCTGCACCCGCTCCATTCTGTCCACATCCTTCTTGAAGTGAGGCCTCCAGAACTGCAAACAGTACTCCAGGTGCAGTGCAGCCTGACCAATGCAGTGTACAGAGAGACTATAAACACAGGAAATGTTTCCCCTAGGCCCCCCACTAGCATTATATGGGAAGGGCTCTGAAGAGGTGGCATATACTTTTTCCAGATACATAAATATGAATGTGGGAGCAATTCTAGGCAGCTCTACTCAGAATCCTGCTCAGTTCTGTTCATTGGGCTTTACTCCCAGGAAAGTGGTTTTAGGATTGCACAGAAAACTGCTGAACAACAGGTACTCCCCACACAATCATAATCCCACCCCTGTAGGGCTTCTGCAGGAAGGGAGGGGAAGTGTTGCGGCCAGGGCTTTTTTGGTAGGAAAAGCCCAGCAGGAACTCATTAGCATAATTGGCCACACCCAACAGCAGAAATGTATTAGCTGGCCACACCCTACAGCAGAAACATATTAGCATATGAGGCCACACCCCCGTGTTACCAAAAGTGTGCTCATCCAGCCACACCCACCTTTTGCTTCTTATTCTGTTTACCTTGTTTGTTGTCAAAACCCAGGGCTTTTTTTGTAACACAAACTCCTATGCATGTTAGGCCACACACCCATAATGTAGCCAATCCTAATGAGTTTCTGCTGTTGGGTGTGGCCTATTATGCTAATGAGTCCCTGCTGGGCATGGCCAACTCAGGAGCCAGCCGGAACTCTGTTCCTGTGCGTTCCTGCCCAAAAATAGCCCTGGTTGTGGATGAATGTGGAAGGGAAGAGGAAAGGCTAGAAATAAGTAGTTTGAAACTGCTTTAATCGAAAGGTTTTTTTTAAATTTATTAACTATTGTGAAGAAATCTGACATGCTTCCACCAGGGGTTTGCTTTCATTTTTGCTCTTAACATCCTGTGCCTTCTCTCAAGCACTGATTATTTTAAAATTGCAGGGATCTTTAAAAAGGAGGACCAGGGTGAGATGAGGGTGGTGGACTAGAGGAGGCCAGCATAAAAGGAAAATCCCAGTTGCCTATATGGAATTGGGACCCACAGTACGAGGTTAGGTTACAGAGTGTTAACAGAACCAAAAGGTAAAAAAATGCCAGGTGATAGATGACTGGTTTATTATACAAAGTCCCCCTACATGTTTCGCTGTGCAGGGGGAACCAGGTCATTCACCTAGTGCTGGAACTGTCCACAGCAATTAAATCCCCCCCCCCTTGTTCTCTTGGCACATTGCTGAGTGCAGCCCAGTTTTTCTCCATCTTTGGGCGTTACAGAGTGTTAGCCAGAAAAGGGTGATTGGCTTACACTGATTTCAATGGAATTTAAGAATGCTAACTCCTTCTGGATCACATTCGCAGCACCCTATTTATTTATTTATAAATTCGATGTTTAGACCACCCTCCCCTGTGTGTAGGGCTCAGGGCAGTGAACAGCATATTCAATAAATACATTTACAAATCAGGTTCAAACAATTGAAAGCGATAAACAAGTTCTATACCTATTCCAGATGGCACATCTAGAGCTCAAACAGGCTAGATGGAAGATCTCAAAACTGTGTGTGACCTGGCGGGCTCGTGTGGTCTCCGTTTGGGGACAGGGTGGGGAATGGAGGGGGGCTTGACCCTTAAACAACCACTGTGTTTTACTGTTTGAAACCAGCTCCCCTACTCTGTTTGTAGTATTTTAAAGGGGGGGGGGACAAATGCTTTTTAAAAGTATGCATCTTTTCTCCTTTAAAATGCTAAAGCCAGAAATGGGGTAACCAGTTTCATGTACATTAAGTATGCGCAGATTGAAGGGTTAAACCTCTTTCTCCTTTCTTTGCATGGGCCAGAGGCAAACTGAGGTTGCATGAGGAAGCAGTTTGCATTTTATGGATGATCAAGAAGTAGGATCTCGAGAGGAAGGGAGGGAGGGGGAGAGAGAGAGAGAGAGAGAGCTGGTACCTCATTATATTGTTCCAGTGTGACAAAGCCTGATCTAACTTCATCCACAGCCTGGAATCTTTGCAGCGTTTCAAGCAACTCCATCACAGAGGGTATGGGCCAAGGCTGGGAAGCCGCTAGTAAGAACCGGCGCCAGTCCACAGTGTCCAAATCCACAGTTAGCATTGATGCGATGTTTTGTATCTGTAACACAGCGTTGCAAAAAATTCTTTTACATAGAGGAAAGAAGAGGGATGGATTTTTAAAGGCAAAAGAATTTCACACAGCTTACAGGACCTTATTCCTTACAGCAAAATGCTTGGGACTCTCTGATAGCAACATTAAAGAGGTTATGAACTTCCCCAACATATAGAAAGCCAATTTGGCACAAATACAGTCCACAACACCCTGTTTACAAGAAAAGCCCCAAAACAGGACATGTTTACACCTCTTTCCACCTGAGGTCTGCTTCATAACAGAAGCTAATGTTCTACAAAAACCAAGCCAGATCACACCTCTGTTTGAATGCATTCATCAGCCTCAGATAGCTCAGGAAGCCTTAGATTTGGAGTACATAAAAGATACAATCTAATAAAAACTGAGCAATATAGAACCGAGCAACAACGAATCAGTATTTACAAAACACAATAAACTCCTGCCTTGAACATTCCCATCACTTTCTCCACAGATTTAAGGTTTGCTTTAAAATTGAAGTCTGTATGGGGCAATGTTCCCTCTAAGCTGTGGAGTCTTGTGAGCAAAAATTCTACTTTGTGAGTGACTGGCATTAAAATTGTGAGCAAGTGATTTGGCTACTGCATCAATTAGTTTGCTCTGGAGCCCTCCTTCCTGAGCTGAGACAAAAATGCGTGAGCTGGAGGCTAAAAAACTGTGAGCTAGCTCACACCAACTCAGCTTAGAGGGAACACTGGTATGGGGTGTGGATTCCATAAGGTGGGTGCCGTCCCCTCAAAAGCTTTGTTTCTCACAGCTGCACCTTTGCCCTGATGGTAGGACGGGAACACCAACAAAGACTGCTGAACTGATCTTGAGAGGCATGTGGGCTCATACGGGGAGGTGGTCCTTCGAGGTATAGGGGCCCCAGGGCATAGAAGGCTTTATAACAGTAGCACCATGCCTTGAACCTGGAAGCAGACTGGTAGCCTGTACAGCTGCCACAATTCATGCTGAATATGATTCTACTGATCTTGAGAGGCACGTGGGCTCATACGGGGAGGTGGTCCTTCGAGGTATAGGGGACCCAGGGCATAGAAGGCTTTATAACAGTAGCACCATGCCTTGAACCTGGAAGCAGACTGGTAGCCTGTACAGCTGCCACAATTCATGCTGAATATGATTCTACTGATCTTGAGAGGCACGTGGGCTCATACGGGGAGGTGGTCCTTCGAGGTATAGGGGACCCAGGGCATAGAAGGCTTTATAACAGTAGCACCATGCCTTGAACCTGGAAGCAGACTGGTAGCCTGTACAGCTGCCACAATTCATGCTGAATATGATTCTACTGATCTTGAGAGGCACGTGGGCTCATACGGGGAGGTGGTCCTTCGAGGTATAGGGGACCCAGGGCATAGAAGGCTTTATAACAGTAGCACCATGCCTTGAACCTGGAAGCAGACTGGTAGCCTGTACAGCTGCCACAATTCATGCTGAATATGATTCTACTGATCTTGAGAGGCACGTGGGCTCATACGGGGAGGTGGTCCTTCGAGGTATAGGGGACCCAGGGCATAGAAGGCTTTATAACAGTAGCACCATGCCTTGAACCTGGAAGCAGACTGGTAGCCTGTACAGCTGCCACAATTCATGCTGAATATGATTCTACTGATCTTGAGAGGCACGTGGGCTCATACGGGGAGGTGGTCCTTCGAGGTATAGGGGACCCAGGGCATAGAAGGCTTTATAACAGTAGCACCATGCCTTGAACCTGGAAGCAGACTGGTAGCCTGTACAGCTGCCACAATTCATGCTGAATATGATTCTACTGATCTTGAGAGGCACGTGGGCTCATACGGGGAGGTGGTCCTTCGAGGTATAGGGGACCCAGGGCATAGAAGGCTTTATAACAGTAGCACCATGCCTTGAACCTGGAAGCAGACTGGTAGCCTGTACAGCTGCCACAATTCATGCTGAATATGATTCTTGGTGCCCCAAAAGGCAGGCAGCTAGTGCTGGAACACAGCAATTAAATCCGCCCTCCCACCTTTCCGTTCTTCACCCCTGGAGTTACCAAGGGTTAACCAGAAACCACTGATCTGCACAAAGACTCTTGTCTCCAAGGGCAGCCCCATGAAGACCGCCATGTTTATCCAACTGACATAGCAAGAGATCTGAGCTGAAAGTTACAGGAGCAAGTACGGTGGGTACCTACATCATACGCGGAGAGGTGCATCCAGCTATCAGGAAGCACGTTGGCACCAAGATTCAAAGTGACCAGGTCATAAATAATGTCAATGAATGTTTTGGTTGGCATTAAACCTAAAACGAAGGACAAGAAGGCGGGGGGGGGGGAGAAATGTGTCACTGTGGGATTTCATATAAGCAATTTAAAAGCAAGTCCTATTTTTTACCCTTAGCCAGGCACAGGAATACATCTCCAGGATAACTATAATCTGCATTTCCACAACGTTGTATGTTTTCAGATCTTTCATATGCCCAATATAGAGCTATGAGTATCTAACACTTAACCATATCGTAATACAAAACAACTGGTTTTGAAAGCAAGCGTAGGTACATTTATGAATGCTCTGGGGGGAAATCGCTTTGGACGACTACGTTCGCAAGGCATATGCCAAAATAACTCGTTTTCACCCCGGATCAAGCCATGCTGGTCTGAAGCAAAAGAACTTTGTTTTCACCTCGTTTTGTTTTTCCCCCCTTTTGATGCAACTTATCACAGATATTCATCGCTAAACACAGAGAAAGACCAGCAACGCAATCCCTAAGCACAACTAACCCCTTCTAAGCCCGCTGACATCTTAGAAAAGTACAACCGTGCATTGGATAAGCCTGCAAGGCTGTGATTCGCTGCATTTTCAGAGCCTGGTGAGACATTGCCCGCAAAAGACATAGAACAAAACAAATCCCATCAGCTGCCTGTTCTACAGAAAACCAGCTTCCAAAAATGTGTATGGAACTGAGAGAAAGAATAGCCCCGGACAGACATTTTGCACATGCAAAGAGAACAGACAGACACCCCAACTCCATACCATAGCTGAGGATAGGGTCACCAACCTCAAGGTGGGACCTGGAGATCTCCTAGGGTTGCCAAGTCCCCCCGGGGGGCGGATTTCCCCCCGCTTTGGAGGCCCGATTTCCGCCCCCGCGGAATCGGACCCCGGGGGACTCCTGCTATTACAACTGAGCTCCAGACAAGAGAGATCAGTGCCCCTGGAGAAAATGGCTGCTTTGGAGGGTGGGCTTCATGGCATTATACCCTGCTGAGGTCCCTCCCCTCCCCAAAACCCATCCTTCCCAGGCTCCACCCCCAAAATCTATAGGCATTTCCCAAGCTAGACCTGGCAACCCTAGCTGCGGAGTCTGCCTGGTGCAACTGCATGGAGGCTTTTATCTGTGCCCACATTGCCTCCCTATGACCAGCACTCCTGCATTCCAAACACTGGTGCTCCCTGGTAGGCAGCGTAGACGCTCCCTCTAGCATGTGTCTGCACCACACAGACATAATTGTGTCAAGGTGGAGGGGGGGGCAGGCCCAGGACGCTTGTGTCCACTCTCCCTCCCCACGCAGTCAGCCAATGAGCAGATGAGTCATCTGTACGGGAGGGCCAATGTGTTCCCCAGGGGGCAGCAGCTCAGGAAGAGTTAGCTGCAGCAGAGAATCAGTGGGTGAAGGAAGGGTTAAGAAATGACAGTCCTCCACCACTGCCACCAGCTGCTGCTTCTCCTTAGAATAAGCAGTTCTTGGAGTCAGACAGCATGCAGTTGTGCCCCACATGGAGATTTCAATGCAGATACTCCTGATACTTTTTGCAGTGGATATGCTACATTCCTATCACAGTGATATAGGCAGAATCTGCATTTGTCTTTCCCACCGGTGCCCCGGCCTTCTGACTCCGTCTTCAAAAAAGTTGTCTACATTTGGTGTTGTTTTCACACCTGAACAGTGCTAGCATACTTTCGCATGTCCACATATGTTTATCCTTATTTCAGGGCGGCTCCCCTGTCATTGCACCTCTGCACTGCTTTAAAAGAATCTTCTCCAAACAACATTCAAACAAGCATAGAGAAAGACGGCGTCACAGCAGCACGAAAATGGTTTTAAAATGCAAATGCAGATTCCACCATAGGCTCTATGGAGCAGTCCCTTCTAGGGTTGCCAAGTCTAATTTGCTTACCGGTGGGGGAGCCTTGCCGGGCTCCGGGAGCCGTCCGAAGATGCGCGCGCCGGCAGCAGATCACCAGAAGCGACGCGTGACATCGACCACGTTGAAGCCGTGGCCCCGATCGTCGGAGGAAAAACCATAGAGTTTTCCCTCCGACGATTGTCCACATATGTTTATCATTATTTCAGGGCGGCTCCCCTGTCATTGCACCTCTCCACTGCTTTAAAAGAATCTTCTCCAAACAACATTCAAACAAGCATAGAGAAAGACGGCGTCACAGCAGCACGAAAATGATTTTAAAATGCAAATGCAGATTCCGCCGTAGGCTCTTTGGAGCAGTCCCTTCTGACTGTATCTTTTGAAAACCACGGAAGGATCCCGTGCAGACGAACCTGCATAACTTGAGAGACTGAACGCAGCCCCATCAGCCATGTACTGTGGTATACACAACAATCCTCTGCAGTCCCACACAAGCAACTGCAACAGAACTTGTAAGGTTGCCAAATTCCAGGTGGTTGCTGGAGATCTCTTGGGATCATAGCTGATCTCCAGGTGACAGAGACCAGTGCACCTGGAGGAAATGGCCCCTTTGGAAGGTGGACTCCATGGCACTGTACCCTGCTGAAGAAGACCCTCCCCTTCCTAGATCCCACATTCCTCAGGCTCCACCCCCAAATTCTCCAGGTATTTCCCAACCTGGAGCTGGCAACCCTATCTGTTATCCATTCTGCAGGCTGTAATGTGTGGCTAAGGGGCTACATTCATCAGTGTCGCCAACCTCCTGGCAGGGCCTGGAGTTGTCTTGCAATTATAACTGTTCTCCAGAGATCGGTTCGTCCGAAGAAGATGGCTACTTTGGAGGATGGAATCTGTTGCATGATACCCTGCTGAGCTCCCTCCCTTCCCCAAACTCAGCCACCCCCAGGCTCCGCCCCCAGAGATCCAGGGGTTTCCCAACCAGAAGTGGGCAATTCTGGACGTCACTCCCTGCCTCAGTGCAGGGCATACTTGCAGGTCAGTCCTCAATTATCATGCATCATGGATAAACCATTTTTTTAGCAGACTTGTGTTAGCCATGTATGTGGGGGGAGTTCAGTGTGTGCCAAATGGCCCACCTACTTAACAGATCCATTTGGTTGTATGCAGCCCTCTGCAAGGATTAAGCCTACTTAACAGATCCATTTGGTTGTATGTAGCCCTCTGCAAGGATGCCCTAAACAACAGATGAAATGTTGGACTTTCACATGACAAAGGCGTTTAAAGCGCCATCCTGAACAGAACTTAGGAGCTGCGGTGGCTCAAGTGGTTACGACGCTGAACTGCAGGCTGTGGAAGGTCAGTAGTTCAGCAGTTCGAGACCCGAGTTGCCGCATGACGCAGTGAGCTCCCGTCTCTAGTTCCAGCTCCTGCCAACCTAGCAGTTCGAAACCAAGAAATTGCAAGTAGATAAATAGGTACCACTTCGGTGGGAAGGTAACAGCGTTCCGTGCGCCTTGGTGTTTAGTCATGCCAGCCACATGACCACGGAAATGTCTTCAGACAGCGCTGGCTCTTCGGCTTTGAAATGGAGATGGCTTTCGAGCAAGGGAACCTTTACCTTTTTAAACAGAGCTTATACCCTTCTGAGTCCATGGAAGTCATCTCTGCTTAAGACTCAGTGCTAGAGACAAACATGGTCCCTAGCTAGATGGCATTACTGCTGAGCAAATAAAAACACCAACCCAATAGCCAACTTTCATTTCTCAAAGTCTGCTCACCAAGACTAGGAACTATATTTTAAAGTGTGCTTTGCCACAATACCTTGACTACAGCGGACGTGTACATGTGCTTAATCACAAACGAGTATTTGTATAGATTTTTCCCAGTTCTACAGTATGGAGGGCTGGAAATGAAGGTATGGAGAGCCATGCAAACAGTCCCTTCCACACTGTCCCTTCCACCTTCTAAGCCCGCACTGCTATCACGGAAGGTCTGATCCTGCACTACTGCTAGTAGGTGCACTGATTGCTTTTAGGCCAAGGCTACTTTTAGCAAGCTCTACTTGATCAGCCAGTGAGTTAGCCAAACTATACATGCAATTCAAAGGCAGCAGAATTCTACCTCTACAGCTGCAACTACGAAATCCAAAGCATCAAGAAGGTGAAGAAGGTGGGGCACATACTGTGATATCTTCTACAGCCAGGTATCTTTATTTGAGGCGTCTTATCGAGAGAAGGTAGGTGGTATCCTTTGTATATATGGAAAAGATGATATCCATAACTCATTTTTACCACAAAGATATTTCATTCTCCACGTAGCTTTCTTCATTTTCCTGCAATTTCTATTAAAATATCCTTTAAAAGTCCATTTCTTCACTATTTTGTTGATGACAAAAACTCAGCTTCATAATTTGAGGCAAAGGAGGGCAGGATCTTTATAGCTGCAGTTGATCCAAGGAGAATCCTATATACCATGTTTGAAGAAATGAATACTCTGATGCTTTAGAACTACTTAAATGCTGAAACAGCTGAGGCAATCAGCACTTAGGATCGTGCAAAAGGCACATTAACTGCCCCTGCAAAAAAATATTTTGCATAACAAGAGAATGAAAACAAAGAGGATGTTACGTAAAAGTTGGTAAAAACTGGAAGGACTGCTATGCTTTAGGAGAATACCTCTAATTTTCATGTTGTCTTGGGGAGCTTGCCTGGACTAGGCTTTACATTTTTTGCCTATCCTCTACCACTGAGACTGTAGCTCAGTGGTTGAGCATCTGCTCGGCATGCAGAAGGTCCCAGGTTCAATCCCTGGCATCTCCAGTTAAAAGGCTCAGGTAACAGGTAAGGTGAAAAACTTCATCTCAAGACCCTGAAAAGCCACTGCCAGTCAGAGTAGACGATAGTGACCTTGACAGAACCAATGGGTCTAGCTCAGATTAAAGCATCTTCATGTGTATTCTGTTTTTACAATTTGAAAGGACAAACAGTGCTTACGATGTCCCCCCAGCTTCTGTAGTATAAATTGCATTTTCATGGTTTAGTTAGCTAGGGTGGCTCAAGTGGTTAAGATGCTGAACTGCAGGCTGTGGAAGGTCAGTAGTTCAGCAGTTCAAGACCCGGATGCCGCATGATGGAGTGAGCTCCCATCTCTAGTTCC